AGAGAAAAAAAATTAGGCCATGGAAACGAGATGCTTTAGAGAGATCCTTGCTATGGAAAAGGTGAGTTTTAAGAAGAAATTTGAATTCAGAAAGAGTTGGAACATAACGGATGGCGGTGGGAAGTTGGTTCCAGAGAAGAGGTGAAAATGCATAAAAACCTTTGGGGACAGATGTTAAGTTTGTTTTAGGTGTGTATAGTATAAAAGGATCAAGTTCAGAACGAAGGCCATCACTTAAAGGAGTATATAAAATTATAAGTTCCTGAAGATAAGATGGAGCAATATTATGTAGGCACTTATAAGTCATAGTTAGAATCTTGAAAATGATGCGTTTATGAACAGGTAACCAATGAAGCCGTGTGAGTTAGGGTGTGACATGGCAAAATTTCCTCGCTCGGAATATGAGTTTTGCAGCCCTGTTCTGAATACGTTTTATTTCTTTACCAAATGAACTAATCACCACTCTCAATAAGCTGTACACAATAAACTAACACGTAAGCTAATATAGTATACTGTAGTGTGATTCGATCGTAGTTTAACACGACAACATTCAAAGATACCTCCGCACAGATCGGTCCCTTAAACGAATTTTCAGAGTAAAAATTCTTTAAAAGCGGCCAACAAGAAAAGCGGCAGGGTGCCGCGCGCCCCAGTAAATTGGAGGAGGAAGGAATGGAAGGCAGGAAAACGGATTTCCAAGAGTTGCCGATGCACGAAGCAAGGTAATTTCAACCAGGAACGAGAAAAGTGGTCCAGTTGTATATCTCTACGAAAAGATGTAGAGATTTAAATTACTACCCATTGGGTCTGGGGGCATGCCCCCGCGAAATGTTTGTGTTCTAGACACCCGAGCACAACATTTGAGGCATTCTGGGCTATAATTTTTTCCTTTCTCTTTCTTTTTTCTTTCTCTTTACCTCCCAAAAAGGGGAGGAGGGAGGGGCGGGGCCGGGCCGCCCCCCAAATCCACCCCTGTTGAATCTTGAACGCCACCATTTATACATTGCACACAATAAAGTAACACATAAGCTGATATAGTGTGATTGAGTGGTTGTATATTACGAAAGAATGCAAATGGATTGTCGCGCACCTTAAACGAATTTCCAGAGTAAAAATTCTTTAAAAGATGGTCACCAAGCCAAGCGGCAGGGTAACCAAAAAGGGTCAGCACTCAACGTTTTTTTACGATATTTAAATAGACATCAAGAGGAACTCTAAATTTTAATAATGGTAAGACATCTAAAAGAATGGTGCTACGATATAATTCTTCCAGATCTATGTGCGCGTCTGGACGGTATATCGTCACAAACGTTTGGTCGTTACTTAAGTTGTATTATATTAGTACGGTATATGATTCTTTATTACATTTTCGTAAATGAATTGTGTCTGAATACAATGGTACATAATTATTATATATAACATTATAAATTTATATGAATTAAAGTTGTTTTGTCTGCAATGCGTTTAAATATGGAAAACAAAACACACGTCAGTACAATTTCACGAGTATGGTACACAACAGCCGAGAATAAGCATTGATTACCGTATTTATTTTTAATTATTTATAAACTGTTACAGAACTTCTATATATTGATTAGTATGTGTACAAAAAATATTAATGTGTTAGGCCTACACATGCCACTGCATATATTTAGGGATAATACGTAATTTTTTATATTTGTTTATACTGATTTAGTCCACATTCAAACGTAACTGTTGTATGAAGTATCATTAATATATTGAAATTTTTCTTTAAAATACTGTAGGCCTACATTACTAAAAAAGTAATATTATTCTTCTATTTTATACCAAGGTAATTCAACAGAAGGACGCACATCTCCGCTCTCGAACATAGCGCGTACGTACAGTCCTTTGATCTTTACTGTGGCATCGACAATCCGATATTAGTTGCGAGTACAGCCGTCAATTATTAGTCTATGCGTGCCATTCGTTTTATGGTGTTAGTTTTTATTAATTTAATTTTGTGTACTTCGCAATGTCTGTTACATCTGTTTATTTTTGACTGCGAGCTTGTTAAATGTTTCTATAAACTGCGATTTGATTTGTGAAAATTGACCAAGAAAATGAAAAGTTATAGCAATTTAAATTTTACGAATTTTATAAAATTTCATGTTCTTATGTAACATTAAACTGTCATTTTGACAATGTTGGCATAAGGTGCCGAAAACGAACATTTGAGTATATACAGAACATTTATTAATTTGTTCTGCGAAGTGAGTCTCATGAACGACAATTCACCACAATTTTGGTAAAATTAATGTTGAAATGAAGAATATAATTTCAGTCTAATGTTAGTGCAAAATATCATTAGTCCTTTGTAAT